TTGTATAGTTATTACCATTGATTGAATAGTTGGCTGGGGGAGCACGACCTTCAACAAGGTCTCTGAATAAAAATGATCTATCTAGAACATTTATATCATTATGTGATCCTGGCAGTCCAAAAAATGCATGCCATATCTAAAGATCATGGGAAGCTATAGCTTCTAGAATTATAGTTGGTTCACGAACATGCCCAACGTACATACCTTTCCAGGCCACTGGACAATTTTTCCATTTCCAGTGCCTACAATCAATATTCCCCAACATTCCAGGAAACCCGCATTTTTCGCCTTCTTTTAGCAATGTGGCAACATCTTCTTTGTTTGGTGTTCTCATGTATTTATCTGAAAAGATTGAAACCACAACCTTAACATATCTATTTAAACTCTCAATTGTATTGCTTTCACCAATTCGTATGTATTCATCAATAAAATCTGTTGCAACTCCGTAGGCAAGCATCCTCAAAGTAGCAGTAATTTTTTGAAGAGAAGACAGAAAGAGTTCCAACTGCATTCCTTCTTTGGACAAAGTACGGGTCATGGATTTCTATAGCAGATTGAATACAAATAAAAAGGGATTGGCTCATTCGGAACCTTCTTCGAAATAAATTTAGAGAATACACAGGATCCTTTCCAAAATAGTCCTTAAAAAGCTTGTGGTGACCAAGAATTCTATTGGGGAATATATATTTATGACCCTGTATCGAGCCTTGATGCAGTATCCATCTTCTTTTATTGAGCAACTCGCCATCTACAAATGCTGTTTCCATCTCCAAATCATCACCGGAGTTAGAGTCATCAAGAATCAATTTGATTAATCTACTTGAAGACATATTTAAAAAGAACACAAATGAAAAATAATTTTTTTTTCTAAAATGAATAGACCTTGAATTTGTTTGGAATGACGTGAAAATGAAGACCAGCAGTTCATAAAGAAGAAAATGGAGGGAAATGATATAAGTATTGGAGGGAAGATGGTAAAAATAAAAGAACGAAAAAAAAACAATAAATACATATTGGGAGTAGTAAAATTAAATGTTAAAAATAAAGACACTGTTAGAGCACTTCAAAATTATAGATACTCTCCAAATGATAGAATATGCTCTTTAAAAATCGAGAGTCTCTTGGAAATACTCTAAGGCCTTTGATTGCACGTAACAATGTTGATATTTTAAGATGGAACTTTAAGTTTTAATGTGATATAAGAGTCAACTAAACTTCAACAAGCAATTTAATTTGATTAACATTCAAATGAGCACACAATTCGAAGATTGATTTGTTCAAAATGGGTATGTCAACGAATAAATCCCGCGTCGGTTAAATACTATAATATTTAAATAAGCATCCTCTCGTACTCAATATTTTATAATAATAAATTTTAATTATACAAGCACCCAACTAATATGATTTAAAATGATAATATGTACTTTTACTCGCATGCTAAAAAATATAATGATAGTAAATAAATAAAAATATTTATTATTATAAATAATTATTTTACAACAACAAAGCTATACTATATGAGTATACATCCCAACAACACCAATATAAGCATCAATTCTATTGCATGTACATTGATTTTGTACATACACGTTGACAGTGGCATGCATCTGTCCATCAATTTGAATTTCAAAACTTTAAATCGATGGACACACATGCATCCGTCAACTTAGTTTTACAAAATTAATGTAAAAGTAGATTAATTCTATAAGCATTAAGAATTTCAAATCGATGGACACGCATGCATCCCTATAAGCATTAAGAATTTCAAATCGATGGACACGCATGCATCTATCAACTTAGTTTTACAAAATGAAAGGTGGTCTACAACAATGTAAGCGAGAAAGAAGGATTTAAGAAGTTCTCCTTATTCATGAGAAGATTATGTAACATAAGATAATACAACAATACAATACAATACAACACAACACAAACCAACACAAACAAGGCGCGAGTATTTCCTCCACCACAAAGTGCACATAATCATAGTTTAGAAGTAGCATCCTTGTCCGAAAACCATGTCAGTTCTCCTTCAGGTGAAACTTCCATGCATGGAAGGGGAGTTGAACCAGGAGCAAGTCCACCTCCTGATGTTTTTTTTACTGTATCGGCCAGCTCAGCACCGGTGACCACCATTGCAATCTCTGTAGCTGAGTTGATCACAGGCAACGTGAAAGTGATCCTCGGTGGAGGAGGTTTGGGAGAGTCGATAATGAAGGTAACCCACCGATTCTTCTCATAACGTTGCTGGCGTGTAGGAAATAGCGAAGCCACATGTCCATCTGGCCCCATTCCAAGAAGCATAAGATCAAATTTGGGGAATCCACTAGCGTTAGATAAAGGTATAATTTTGCTCTCGACCAAATGCTTGAGACGTGTTTCATAATCATCTGCCGCACCCTCTGGTGAAAGCTTGTCATTGATGGCATAAATGTTACTGGGAGAAATTGGTACCTGCCAAAATATTTAAAAGCAAATTCTCTTAACATTCTGATTAATCAACAAAGCCAATTCTGTCACAACTTCTAGAGAAGCATTTTTTTTCTCCAATACATATTATTGGCTTATCGAAGTACCGACAACTCAGAATTAGTCCTTCAATCTCTGGAAAGAGACGACTCCTTATAGTTGACTTTTTGGGTGGAAACTCGTCTAAGCTCTTTGGAAGGGGACAATCACGTATAGCTATCCTTAGGTTACAACTTTTTAACAAAATGGGCACCGCGAAACTTGCAATATTAGTCCTTTTGCCTGGCTTTACAGCTCATATCTTCACAACAATTGAGTTTCAACTAACAAAATTACAAGAACTGTTATGCATTCAATATTCAGACCTAAAATATCTCGAAATTTTGCTCACCTTTGAGAGAAAACCATCCCAGGCAAGTTTATAATTACTGTCATCACTATCCAAAGGAACCACCCTCTCATCCACCCAAAAGATGAGCCATTTCGACCAATCAACTGAATCTTTGTAGGGAGATTCCACCATTTTCCTTGAAACATCAAAATCAGATTATCAAAATTTTAAAAAGATAAAAAAAATAAAACATTTGATTACATGAATTGTAGGGAAAGAAAATAGTGTACCTCATTGTATCAATTAGTAACAGATCTTGTGAGGAGTAATTGCTGAATTATTAATCTCAATCTTAAACACCTTGAATGGGGTTTATATAGATCATAAACATCCCAAACAAGTACAACAAATATCCCACAAAACGTGGTCAAGTCAGTTACAATGAAACAAATACTTGAATACATATCAGAAACAATTTGTTACAACAGAAAACTAATAGCAGAAGAGTAGCTCCTATGATTGAGCTTCAATACGCCCCCGCAAGATGGCAATTCCATCGGAAATGCCAATCTTGGATCGAAGAAAAAAGAACCGACTTTTGGAGAGAGGTTTAGTAAGAACATCAGCCAGCTGGGAGTGAGTATTAACATGAGAAATTTTAAGAGAGCCATCAGCAACTTTTTCCCTAACAAAATGGTAATCCAACGCAACATGCTTCATTCGACTGTGGAAGAGCGGATTAACACACAAATATGTGGCACTTAAATTATCACAATAAATGGATGGAGAATGTTGAAGAGTGATACCAAGCTCAGAAAGGAGATGAGAAACCCAAGTGACTTCAGCAGCGGTAGAAGCGATAGCACGATACTCTGCCTCCGTTGAAGAACGAGCTACTGTCCTTTGTTTCTTTGAACACCAAGAGATTGGATTGCCACCAAGAAAAAGAACAAAAGCAGTGGTAGACTTGTAAGAATCAGGGTCACCGGCCCAATCGGCATCGGAATAAGCTTGAAGATGGAGAGGTTGTTGACGTCGAAAAGTGAGACCAAGATGTATTGTATGTTTGAGGTAACGGAGTAACCTCTTAGCCGCAGTCCAGTGAGTTTGAGTTGGGGCATGCATGAATTGGGCAAGTTTGTTGATGGCGAAAGCAATATCGGGACGGGTGAGCTGGAGATATTGAAGTCCACCAATCAAACTCCGAAATTGAGTAGCATTAGCTGGAGGAGAACCATCATTAAGAGTTAGACGGCTAGTTGAAGACATTGGGGTGGAAGATTCCTTTATGCCTTCCAAATGAAACTTTGCTAACAAGTCACGAACATACTTATGTTGAGATAAAAACATGCCATCAGAAGTGGAAATGGCCTCAACACCCAAGAAGTAGCTCAAGGGACCAAGATCCTTTAGGGAAAAACGATGAGCAAGAGAATCAACAAACTTCCGAATGGACTGAGAACAATTCCCTGTTACAAGTAAATCATCCACATATACGAGAAAATAAATTGTGACCGATCGACACTGATAGATGAATAATGAAGTATCAGACTTAGAATTGATGAACCCAAAATTGAGGAGAAAAATCTTTAACTCCATGTACCATGCACGAGGGGCTTGTTTTAAACCGTAAAGAGCCTTTTGCAAGCGGCAGACATAAGTAGGATTAGCCTGATCAACATACCCAGGGGGTTGAGCCATGTAAACATCCTCAGTTAAATTTCCATGAAGAAAAGCATTATTTACATCAAGCTGAGAAATAGGCCAACCGTTACTCAAGGCAATGGATAAAACAACTCGAATGGTGGTTGGCTTAACAACAGGGCTAAAAGTGTCATGATAATCGACCCCAGGGCGTTGATGGAACCCTTTGGCAACCAAACGAGCTTTGTACCGGGAAATAGAACCATCCGGATTGCGTTTGATACGAAACACCCATTTACATCCCACAATGTTATGGTTAGAAGGAGGAGGTACAAGAACCCATGTACAGTTGCGAACAAGAGCAGCAAGCTCATCATTCATGGCAGCACACCAATTGGGATCTTTAAGAGCTTGAGAGGCGGTAGTAGGCTCAGGGGATGCAGGAAGTGGATGTTTGGTGACATGAAAACTTGTCTTAAAACCAGGAAATTGTTTGGGACAATGGATATTATTTCGAGAACGGGTTACAATTCGATGAGATGGCTCGGGTAGAGGATTGGACCCTTGTGTTTGGGTAGGTGGTGACAAGGACAAAGGTGGAAAGGATGTATTAGAAGAGTCAGAAGACAAAGGGGGAGAAGAAGGGGAAAGATCATACCTTGGAGTAGCATCACACACAGAGAGAGGAGCTGAAGCCGTAGTAGGTGGACTTGAACTAGCAGGAGAAAGTGATGAGAGCAGCTCCTGATTAGGCCGTGTGTTAGTGCAAGAAGGTGCCTAGTGCGGGAAAGATTCGGAGGTAGTGGGAACCACAAAAAAAGAAGGTTGGATAGCAGCAAGAGCTGGGGAACACGAAGACCACATGGAGGCAATTTGGTCAAGATCTGTAGACGTAGTATTTGAGGCAAGAGGAAATTGGTGTTCAATGAATTTGACATGACGAGATATGTACACACGGTTGGAAGACAAGTCTAAACACTTATAAGCATTATGAGTGTTGGAATATCCAATAAAGACGCAAGGCTTGGAACGTTTATCAAGTTTATGATCAGAATAAGGACGCAACCAAGGAAAACATAAGCACCCAAAAGCTCGTAACTTATCATAGTTTGGCATTTGTTGAAAGAGAGACTCAAAAGGTATTTGATGTTTAAGAACTGGAGTGGGCAAACGATTTATTAAGTATGCAGCTGCAAGGAAAGCATGAGACCAGTATTTTAAAGGTAGAGAAGCTTTGTGGAGCATGGCCAAACCTGTCTCAACAACATGACGATGTTTCCTTTCAGCAGAGCCTACATGTTCAGGTGTGTAAGGGGGAGACACTTGATGTTGAATACCTTGTGATATGAAGTAGGATTTAAGACTTTTATATTCAGTGCCACCATCTGTGTAAAGAGTTACCAATGATGCTTTAAAGTATTTTTCGACCATAGATTTGTATTTGGGAAAAATTGTGTAAACATCAGACTTGTAAGCCATAGGAAATAACCAGACATATTTCGTAAAATAATCAATGAAAATAAGATAGTACCGAAATCCATCAATTGATTCAATTGGGGAAGGCCCCCATACATCAGAATAAACTAAATCAAGAGGACCACGACTTTGAAGTGAAGAAACTCCAAAAGGCAATTTGTGGCTCTTATTACATAAACAGGACTCACAAAAGAAATTGTGGAATGAATCAGTAGGATAAATTGGAAGATTATGTTTGCGAATTAAAAACTGAAAAATACGAGATGATGGATGTCCTAAACGATGATGCCAATTTGAAAGCGATGTCTTGACACTAACACATGCTTGTTTAGGAGAGGTATCCACTGTGTTTCTCCTGTTAGGCCAAGGCCACTCATATACATCATCCTTGCTCCGCCCTTGAGTGAGACGCGCCCCCGTTTTGAGATCCTTGACAACAAAAGAAGAAGGAAAAAACTCAATAGAAGCATTGTTGGTCTTACAAAACTTAGAAACAGAAATTAAGTTTTGCTTTATTGAAGGAACACATAACACATTAGACAAACAAAAAGATTTAGAGGTAGCAGGGAGTGTAGAAGAACCAGTGTGAGTAATTTCGAGACCTGAACCATCACCCAATAGAATGTCATCAGGACCTTCATAAGGCTGTTGATGGGAAAGATTAGTTAAATCGCTAGTAACATGATGGGAGGCGCCAGAGTCCACAATCCAATTTGAAGACGACGAGTTCCCAAAAGAGGTGTGATGAACCTCTGGCTGTTGTTGCAGGAGCCTCTTGGCTAAATTGCATTGTCTAGCAGTATGCCCCTTTCTCTGACAAAATTGACAGATAACATTGGATTGAAAATGATTGTTATGGTTACCATTATTGTTGAACTTCCTTTCTTGGTAATTTCGATTATTAAAGAACCTCTTCCCATTATTACGTTGTCCATTTCCATTCTGTCCATTGCCATATCGGGGTTGAATGTTGCCAAAACTTGTGCGAGTACTATTCACAGTGATATGTGAACCACCACGTGACTCTTCTCTTTTCAAGAAGGTTTCATGTTCTACCAGCTTGTCATGAAGTTCTTCAAACGAAACAGGAGTGTCTCGGGCTCTTATTGCAGCAGAAATCTCTTTGAAGCCACTACCAAGGCCATTAAGAGCAAAAATAGTCAGATCATCATCACTTAAATGAGTGTCAATGAGAGCTAGCTCATCAGCAATTCCTTTGATGGTTTGAAGATACTCTGCAACAGAACGAGTATTGCAGGAGATGTTGGTAAGTTTCTCCTTAAGATTCATTACTCGTGATCTGGATTTGTTAGCATAAAGCTTGTGAAGCTTTACCCAAGCATCACGAGAAGTAGCAGCAGCAGCAATCAAAGGCACAACTCCTTCCGAAAGAGACGCAAGAATTGCGTGAAGGAGCAATTTATCTTGCCTTGTCCAAATAGCAAAATCTGGATTTGAAACAGTTGTTCCATCTTCGGCAATAATTTCCTTGGATGGGCATGGTTTATTCCCATCAAGAAATCCCATGAGATCATAACCGTATAGGAGGGCGTCAAACTGTGCTTTCCAAGAGGGAAAGTTGTTGTTCAATTTGATGGGTAGTTGGGCAGTAGCATTAATAGAGATAATTCCATCAAAGCAAGGAGTGGAAGAGATGAGTGATACATTTGTTTTGCGGGTTGTGTTTTCGGCCATGGTGCAGGATATTTTCAAAGAGAGGTTTTGGATCTAAAAACTCGTTGGAGTCTTTATGTCTCTGATACCATAACAGATCTTGTGAGGAGTAATTGCTGAATTATTAATCTCAATCTTAAACACCTTGAATGGGGTTTATATAGATCATAAACATCCCAAACAAGTACAACAAATATCCCACAAAACGTGGTCAAGTCAGTTACAATGAAACAAATACTTGAATACATATCAGAAACAATTTGTTACAACAGAAAACTAATAGCAGAAGAGTAGCTCCTATGATTGAGCTTCAATA